CGACTTTTCAGACCCCCTTAATGACTTTTTTTTTTTTCAAAAAAGCACCTAGCGACAAATCTGGCGACATTTCTGACCCCACTCAGCTACTTTGACTACAACTTTGTTGCCAACTTTACCTGCAGATTAGAGATGCATCTGAAGCGACAGGACCGTCCTTCCTTCCAGAGGATCAGAAAGAAAATGATCTGCGCATGTGTGTGCAGGCAGCGCCGCACTCGCACATGGCTTGACCAAGTTAGTCCATCCATCCATCCATCTTCTGAATCTGCTTTGTCCAATCAGTAACTTAACTGACCAAAATCATTATTCACTGGGAATTTTTATAGACAGGTACGGGAGGGAGGGGGGGGGTGCCTATCTCCAGTGGTCAACGGGCAATCGGTGGGGTACACCCTGGACAGAGCCAGTCCATCGCAGGGCAACACAGAGACACACAGGACAAACAATCATGCACACACATACACACACCTAAGGACAATTTAGACAGACCAATTAACCTAACAGTCATGTCTTTGGACTGTGGGAGGAAGTCAGAGTTCCCGGAGAGAACCCACGCATGCACAGGGAGAACATGCAAACTCCATGCAGAAAGATCTCAGGCCGGGAAGCGAACCCAGGACCATCTTGCTGCAAGGCAACAGCTCTAACCACTGCGCCACTGTTCAGCCCACCAAGTTAGTCATTTATTAAAATTAAAAAATATATATTAGGTTTCATTACAGCGATCATCATCATGTTGGTTATCTGCAGTTAGCATAATGGTTAAAGTGTCTGGTCTGGGGGTCTTCCAGAGACCTCCAGAAGCCCCGAATCACAGTCCTGACCTTTAGATCCACCCCTGAGCACCTGGCCTAGGTTAAAATCAGGACCTGGGGTCTGGGGGTCCTCCAGAGACCTCCAAAAGACCTGCATCATGGTTCTGACCTGTATATTTGCCCCTGAGCACCTGCCCTGGGTCAAAATTAGGACCTGGAGTCCTTTTACCAAAGCTGTTCATTTAATGTTTAGCCTCTGAGTCGATGTTTGTAGAAACATAAGAATGTTTTTATGGCTGCTTTGACAACAATACTAGAATTCAATTGACATATAACATTAGCTAAAGTAGTGTCATGTGTCACATACTCATCATAGGATTTAATATGAATATTCAGTGTGTAACTTTACTTTGAATAAAATTCATTTGCTATCTCGCCTTTGTATGTTATATTGAGACAGTGATGGTAAACCATAAAGAGAGTGTATCCTTAATGGGAATCTCACTGGGTTGGAATTTAACTGGTATCTAAAAAGAGAGGATGGAGCAGGAATCCAAAGGTTGACATTGACTGGATGCTAGTTTACTGGACAGTAGTACTCAGTTACGTTTGACCTTTGTTCTTCATTGATGTCGGAACACCTTGACCCCTGCTCTCCCATAACAGAGAGCCCCTCAGGGAAGTAGATTTGTATGTGTGTGTAAGCGTGCATGAGGTTTGTGTATAAACACTTTTGTGTTCCCTTAACATTTCTAAGTCCAGTGAACCTGCGGCTACTCGCTTCACTCTTGTAGTCAAATGTGGAACTGGTGTGCAGTTGGCCATCGAGATGTTGTGTGCCTGCTTTTTTGTACAGCACTTTAGTCAACGCTCATGCTGTGATGTAAATATGGTATGATATAATATGTGCCCTTGCCTTTACTGATAAGAATTTTGTGAATGGAGATCAATTGGTAGTAGTAGTAGTAGTAGTAGTAGTAGTAGTAGTAGTTAAAGGTATAGGTCATAGTTAAAGATGCAACCGTAAGTGTTGGCTCACTTGGGAAGGTTGCTGGATGAAGTGAAACTATTTGGTCATATTGACCTGCATTATAATTATTATAAAGCAGACCTCGCCTCGTGTCTGTGGTGGTGGATGGCTGATCATTTGGGTTTGTTTTGAAGCCAGTAAACCTGGGCATCTTGTCTCAGAGTCAACCATAAACTCCTCTGTCCCACAGGTTGTCTTAAACATGGTCCTTCAACAGGTCAGTAATCTCAAACGCAGCAGCAATTCAACAATGTCAAGGTTGAAAAAAGAAAATAATCAACAAGTTGTAATGGTCTGGTTTAAGTCCAGAGCTTTCAGTATTTTACTACTTTGTATTTGATGAAATTTTAAACATTAAAGAGCAGGAGAAACCATTTTTGACATATTGCTTTTTAAATTGATCAATCACTCTGAGTTTAACATGCAAGCTGAACGTGAAAATTGTCTCCTACACCTATCTCCTGCATTAACGTCTGATAGAATGTAGACAGTGAAACTCTAGGATTTGACAAGCTGACAGATCTACGTCACACTGTCACTGAACAGTCATGGACTCACCCATCTTCAATCAATCAATCAAAGCTTTGTTTGACTCGCAACGAGGAAGGCTGTTGTTGGTTTAGCGTCCAGGAAACAGCAGAGAAAGTCTCGGCTGGTAGAAGCTAATCGTTAGCATCAGCAACTCCACCACACAGCAGAAGTTCTTCAGGTTTGTGTTATTTATGGATATAAAAACATTGATTTTGCAAAGTTAATGGAGTTCAGCCAATCAGAGGCGATTGACTTCTCTGTCCTCAAACAGGCACATCTGAGCTTATTTTCCCCAGAGAACGACATACACAGCATTCATATCTACTAGAGATGTCACGAGCGCGCTGGTGAGGTGAGCGGAGGCGAGGATCCAAACGCAGGTGAAGAAGGCAGGCAGACAGGAATGGCTTAGGAAGGTTTTAATAAAGAACACGCTGGACATAGAAACAATGATCCGACAAGACAAAAAGGACTGACAGGGTTTAAATACAGGAGGAGCTGGGACCTTGGGTGATTGGGAGACGAGAGGCTGGTGGAAGCAATTAACATGGACACAGGACTGAACAGAATGGGGAGACAGGACAGAGTGTGACAAGAGACCACTGTAAATGTATTAAATATGAGTGAAGTTGACCTTTAAAGCAAGTTTTTAGTAATTGCTGAATCATAAAATGGCCTTCTAGGATTTTTCAACCCCCCAAGGCACTGTACAACACCATCAGACATTCACCTACACACACACACACACACACACACACACACGCACACACACACACACACACACACACACACACACACACACACACACACATTCACACGCTGGTAGGGATGAGCTACATTGTAACCATGGCTGCCCTTGGTTGCACTAACACAATTTTAAAGGCCATAGGTAGTCATAAAAAACTCTTTGAATTTAGCTAGTTTTTATCCAGGGCATTCACTCCCAACAACATCCCTGTTAGTAAAAACAAACAGAACACTTCAAAAATCAGAAGGAAAATTCCTCATAAGTTAAAGTTTTCTAGCTGGAGTGTTCCTCAGATTTCACACACTCTGCATCAGAGTCAGGAACGTGCATGTTAAAGGGATTTGAAGTTATTGTTTATTCCTTCCCAGAGAAGGGGAATCTCGGAGCATACCTATGTAAAATGTGAATTATCTTCTGTCACAATCATTTATAATGTTTAAAGTTTAACAGAAGTGGTCAAGTTGTGAGCAAAGGTCTTTAGGGCCTCCGAACAGAGTCTACCTTCTCATGGTCAACCTCGTTTCATTTTATATTGACAACGATGGATTTTTTTTATCTGAAATAGTTTTTTTTTTCTACCTAAGTTGTATTTACGTTTATATGAACATAAATCAATAAACACAAAATAAAAGTTTTGTCCTTAGATTGTGAACTCCTGGCTTTATTAAATGTGTATCTTGACCAGTTGTCCCGCATTTTCAAAGTTTTAGAAATTCAGAAAATGGCCTGAAACGTCGACTTTAGTTAGTAACCCTGAAACCCACGTTTTGCAGCTGGTATGCAGGTTGATGGCTGATGAATATTTGTTTAGGGAGCACAAATGTTGACAACAGTTACACACACGAGAGTGAGAGGGTGAAAATGACTCTCTCTCAGAGGCCTTGACAACCTTTGCCCTCCTGGCTCTTGTTTCAGGCTCTGTAATTGCCACTGACCAATGGGCTCCTGGTTGAAACTAGACCCTGCGCTGCAGCTATTAACGTCCCTCTCCAAAAGGATCTTGTTTTGATTCCTGATGCTTTTATAGGTTTTGTCTTTAGGAGACATTCCTGGTCGGCACATACCGTGCACTCTTTTCTGCCCTTATTTTCCTTCCTTCCCGTCTTGTGGGGCCATTGCGCCCCCCTTCCTGCACTCACAAACATGCACACATTTGTGATTAGCCTCTGCACATGTGTGTGTGTATGTGTGTGTGTGTGCGTGTGCATGCTCATACAGATGCAAGCCAAGGCAACTGACCAGCCCGCCCTCCCCAGCCCCTCCTGACAGCTAGTTACACTCTATGAACTTGGCCACCCGTCACTGCTGCGTTAAGATTGAAGGATGGGGGGGCCCGTGTATCCAGCTGGGTCTGAAGACACAGATGGGGGCAGGGCAAGCCCAGATGCAGATGGTTTAGGTCAAATGGAGATGTTTGAGGATGAAGGGGGAAGGGATTTACGAGATCAGGAGCACAATAACTCCAGGAGTTACTCTTTCAACCACTGGCTAAACACATTCTGGAAGTTTGGACACACATTAGTTTAAAAGAGTTTTTATTACAAGCTTTTATTTGGGTTTTTTGCTTAACCGTTTACACTTTGTTTTTTAGGTCAGCACATACCTAATAGAATCTTTGCTAATAAAAACAAGAGCAACCAACGCATGTTGTTGTTTATTTTGTTATAGCTTAATTAAAATTAATGCACATGAGATGCATTGCTGAATGTTAAAACGGTATGTGTGCGTGTGTATATGTATGTATGTATATATATATAATAATTCTGTCCATATATAATCCATAATTTTATATATATATATATATATATATATATATATATATAATTGTTTATTCTTATAGATCTTATATTTTATGCGGTCATCATTCAGGGCTGTTTCAATCCTCTGACGTTATTTCTTTATGATGACGTCTTGTGTCTTCGATGTGTTGTAGAATGGAAATACTGGTTGGGCAGATGAAGCTGACAGCAGCAGAGGAAGAGGAGAAGCCTCCAGAGATTTTGCTAAGGTAAAATTCTAAAAATTATAATCTCTAGATGTTCATAGAATTATAAAAAAAAAATGAACAAATGTTTAAAAGCAAACATTTACACAGTTTTAGCATTAATGATTATGACACTTAGACAAGTAACTGATTTCTAAAGATATTTTACTGCCATAAAATTTTAATCTATGTTTCCTTCATCCATTCAATTTCTACCACTTATCTGGGGTCGGGTCACGGGGGCAGCAGCCTAAGCAGGGAGGCTCAGACACCCCTTTCCCCTGCTACTTGGACCAGCTCCTCCAGGATAATCCCAAGGCGTTCCCTGGCCAGCTGAGAGACATAGTCCCTCCAGCATGCCCTGGGTCTTCCTTTAGGTCATCTCCTGGTTGGGCATGCCTGAAAACCCTCACCAGGGTTCAATTCAATTCAAGTTTATTTATATATCCTCATACTAACCAAGCATGCACCGACAGTGGAGAGGAAAACTCCCTTTTAACAGGAAGAAACCTCCAGAGGATCTCGGCTCAGTATAAGCAGCCATCCACCATGACTCACTGGAGATTGAGGAATCAGCAGATACACACACACACACACACACACACACACACACACACACACACACACACACACACACACATACAGACACACCTCTACAAACACATACACATCCGTACACACACACACAACATATATATACCAAGTAGTGCTTCTATGATTACATTGTGATTTCTTAGTAAATATTCTATTTCGTTAGAGATAAACTTTATTGTATTTATGCTAGTGAATCTATAACTAATTCAGCAGGTAAAATAGTAGTAGCACATTCAATATCAAAGAAAGTAAAAAGTTATTATCAGGAGAGGGAGAATGTTTAAGTGGTTAGCAAGTGTGTGCCGATGGCCCCCTCCATGAGGCTACCACAGCTCAGCAGACGAAAGTGGATGGACTTTGTCTCCTTCTAAATGTCACTTTAAAGTTGTTTTCTGACAAGAGAGGATAGTGACAAATAAGGCCAAATTCAAACCTAACAAGTATTTGATTTTTCTTACAGCTGTATGAGCTGGACAACGATCCCAAAAGGAAGGAGTTTTTGGATGATCTCTTCACCTTTATGCAGAAGCGAGGTATGCATACCCTACAGGGATTAAACAGCACATTATGCAGCAGCAGCCACTTTCACATCAATCAATTTAATACACACTCAAAATGTAAAGGGTCTTTTGGACTTGCATGAGTATTTAAAAAGTCCTCAACAAAAGGAGGAAGGCTGGAGCACTAACTAGGGCTGAAACGAATCATCGAATGTTTCGAATGGTGCGATTCATTAAATTCCACGATTCATTTTTTACTGATTCGAAGCTTTGGTAAATGTGCGCTCCACAGTCTGAACACCTTTTACTGGAGCAGCATGTGGTAATCTAGGTGCTGTTGGGGATAATCGAGAAACCAGCAAAGACAGAAACCATTGTAAAAGGCAGACACGGTCCAAAGTTTGAGATCAAGAGTTTAAATATGAGCAGAATTGCTAATGCTAAGCTAGCGGGTAGCATTCTCACGAGCAAGTGTGGTTCTGAAAAAACGTGATGGTTGTGAAAAGCTAAAAGCGGAAGATAAATCCCCATCATCCCATGTATTTATGGATCTCTGCAGCGGTGTGGGGCAGAGCTTCTGTAGCTACCGTCTGGTTGTTGCTACGAGTGTTCCATCCACAGCAGAAACTGTGGCAAGCTGCTGTAGCATATAATTCACTAACACTTTATTATTGCAATACAGTTTAGACTAGATTATGTTGCCAATCCATACAAAATAAAATAAATGTACCACAAGTGCATTGTTACAAGTAGAAATTAAATGTTAGCATTTCTAGTAGCTTACTACTGAACACGTTAATGAAATAATTTAATTCTACTCATTGTATGTGAATATATTTAGACTAGGATGAGGTCAATACAAACTAGACAACACCAATTTATTATATATTATTGAGTCTTTTATAATTTCTATTTTCATATTTTAACCAGCAGACCATAATCTTGTTTCACTTGAAACATCGTCAAATAGAATACTCGATTAATCGATGGAAGATTCGATAGAATACTCGAATACTAAAATATTCGATAGCTGCAGCCCTAATGCTAACGTTTTGAAACTTATTTGGTCTTCATCAGAATAACAAGACCAGTATCTTATTTGCACCCATAAAACTTTTTTCTCACTTTGAATGCTCCAGCCTTTCTCCTTTTTTGATTTGTGGGGTTAGGGTTATGGTTGTTCACTGGCTGCTGAGCCTTGATTAGTGAGTGGATGACGTGCAGAAGGTCCTGCTTTATTTTTAGTCCTGCAATCATTTTTGTGAAAAAATAAAAACTTTTGGAAAAGGACAGTAACAGTTTAAAAATGATTCAAAGCACAAAGGTCCTCAAAGAATTCTGAAAAGCTACCCAAACCCAAGATCACTTCAAAAGATTGGCTGCTTAACCCTCTGGAGACAGGCGTTGCAGATTTGCAACGTTAAAACCTACCTACCCAGTTACTCCACATACGTATTTCATGAGCACTTTTTAACTCAGAAGTACCCCTGAAGGACTTAGTTGTTCGTCCGTTTATCAAAACTTATTTTGAGCCTGAGAGGGTTAAAAGCCATTATATCTGTGGAACACTGAAAACCCCTTTGATAATTATTGTTTCTGATTATAATCATTCACACCGTTTTTAATGCAGACTGAACATGAACACCTATCTCCTGCATTAGCTTCTTGTAAAAAATAGATGGTGAAACTCCAGGACTTGAACAGCCTAACAGATCTATGCCACACTGCCGCATAACAGTCGTGGACTCACCCATCTTGATTTTCAACAGGGAAGTCTGTTGTTCCAGGAAACAGCAGAGAAAGTTTCAGCTATTAGAAGCTAACTGTTAGCATTAGCAAATCCACCACTCAGCAGAACTCCTTCAGGCTTGTGGTATTTGTGGAGATAACACATCAACATTGCAGAGCGAACGGAGTCAGTGGAAGAGTGGCACGACTGTTATCCAATCTGAGACTCCTGCCGTGTTTTGCCACTCTCTCCTAAAGCTGACTTCTGTGTTGATACAGGCGCTTCTGGGCTCAACCCCCCCCCCCCCCCCCCCCGAGCACGACTTACGATTCTGTCTAGAAACCAATGCAAATGTATTGATTAAACAATTGTTCAACTCCTTTAAATAAAGCTAAATGCAGTGCTCCTCATGTTAGAACACCAATGAAATGGTTTTGTGTACTTCGTCCTTGGGTTTCTTGGTCATTGGCTAAAGATGCTAAAAGAAAATAACACAGCATCCTCTTCCTAGAAGTAATTTCCTGTCTTATAGCAAGAATGGGATGCTTCATTTCTCATATTTGATTACAGACAAACCGGTGTCAGGTTTGCTGCACAAAGTGACAGCTTAGCATTAGAACACCTGAGATCATTGGGGATAATCTTCAAATTCTGTGGTTTGGAACATCAAACGTTTATACTAGTTTGACATGTTTTCTTCCTGAGAAGAGTGTTGTGTCAATGATCAACTCTAAAAACATCCGGTAACTCACACCACACCGGTTAACAAATCCTTTACTAATTCCCCTCCCTTCCCTGGAGTAAAACCCTTAAGGTGTCAGGAGGTGAGATCTGCCTGAGTTGATCTTCCCTTACTGGAGCCAAGTAGCTGTGGCAGTAGCCTAGCTTATTAAGTAGACTGTGAGGTTTGTAGTGAAGCTCAGATAGTCTTCTGCTGCTTTTACAGTCTTCCATGCTCCTCAGACCCAATGTACTGATGCCTCTTGGTTTCATCTTTCACAAATGCAACTAAATTATGTATCTGGGTTGAGCAATACCAGCAGAAATGAATCAGGATAGCTGCAAAAAAACCAAGAAACTACAATGAAATCTGATTGTGTCTATGGGTGTGGTTCTTGCATCTCAGGCTGGTGATGTAATTTATATGTAATGTGGAGTTGCAGTCTGGCTGTTGTTGATTTGTTTGCCAATATTTCTATGTATTGGTCCTTGACCCTTGACATGTGTGTATTTTCATATATATGCTGAACTCAGATCTACAAGTTAGAGTGGATGTGATGATTCTTGATTCAAACTCAGACTAAGGATGGTCAAAATGTAAGTTTTCCAATAAATATTTATCAGTTCAACAAATGATGATGCACGATTAGACTTTTTGTGGGCCTTACACACATAATCCACCTGTCACAATTCACCAGTTCTTCATCAGTTTGTGGAAATGGGCCACAAGAGGTCCTCCTTTGACAATGTCATTGGCTAATTGATGTGTCAATCAACAGAATGATGTGCTGCAAGTGGCTTATGCTACACAAGTAAGAATAGAGGGCAAAACTTTTGAACTTTGCCGATAGTTGAAGTATGTAGGACTTTTGGATTAACTCTGTTATTGGACACTTGTGAATGTTAAAAGACCATTTTTGTTTGAGTTGGCTTTATTCTGACAGTAATATAGAATGGTGAGTTAGACATTTTTGATTTCCCAGTGGTTTGACTAAAGCATTTACTGCGTCCACAGTTATGGTTGAATTCTTGATTTCCAAATATTACTGGAATCACAAGAATTCTAGCTTTCTAATGATAATACGTATATGTCCATAAAAAATGTGTAGCAAACAGACACATTTGATCTGAAAGTGTGTAAAAAAATTTAAAATATCTTTAAAAACTATCGTGAATGGCTCAGCCTGTCAGCAATGACATAGCTATAAAATCACCCAATCGCCCAGCCTTAGCTCAGACCTGTTTTTCTGCTAATAGCTTAATTCTTCTAAAAAATTTCCCATAGTTCCAATATATCCAGTTTGACTATATGAGTCACTGGGGACTGCTGTGTTGCTGCAACCCATTTCAGCTAAAAAGAACCCTATTAGAAAGTGAAATAACAAAGTTTAGAGATTCTTTTTCTGATACATATCAGTGTGTCCTCTCCTCAGTCAATGGTAGCAGCGCAGTAGTAATCTGAGCATCTGAGTTATTATTCCCTCTGAGTCAGCCATTTACATTTACATCAACTTAAATTAGTGTTGTAGTTGCTGGAGTCAACGTTAAGTATGGGCATTTAAAGCATAAATACCATCACTAGGAATTCAGCTGTATATATATTTGTTAGAACTTTAGACTTTTATATGAAGAGGCCGACGATAAATCAGATTACAAATAGGAACAGAAACAAATCAATGCAAAATATTGCTCAAGCTGTGAAAAGCTCACCTTGCTAATAGCCTACTTTAATATGTTTTGTCCTGCCCATGTAAAATACGTAATATACTTTGTAATAAAACAACTAGATTTACTTTTAAAAACTTTACATTGTAGAGTTTTAGCAACCAAGATTCAGGAACGTTTTATGACTAAGTAATCTGCAGTGATTTTATTTCAGATAGATAGATAGATAGATAGATAGATAGATAGATAGATAGATAGATGATAGATAGATAGATAGATGATAGATAGATAGATAGATATGGCCCAATGATTCTTAAAGGTTGAATATGGATCACAAACACCAAAGCGACATCTAGTGTGTAGAGGTTGTAGTTGCAACAATAGAACAAGTTTTCCAGTTGTTGGGATACCAAGTTTGCTGCAGATACGTGAAATCTTTTATCTGTTGTCAGCTTCGCCTAAACTCACTCTGGTTTTAGATATTTTATGGTCGCTCCTCTTCTGAGAAGGATAACAACATCTTCTGGGTTCAGAAGCAGCTGCTTGACTTACCGAGTCCGCCATTTCCACAGTGCCAACCTCGCTGTGCCGATCAGACTGTTTACAGGGTATCGGCGGGTCCTTAAAAAGTCTTAAATTTACTTTTCAAATTTAAGGCCTTGAAAATCCTTCAAAATGACAAATAATCCTTAAATACGGTTTCCAGAGGTCTTAAATCACCAAAGACCCAATAAACTAGATTATTTTATTTCTATGACATTTTCGTGAATTTCTAGTTAGTGTTCAGCATTTTTTGTGTACGATGTTGTCGTAAGCAGAACTGTTCACGTTCAGTTGGTTGTGAAAGGGGGCTATTTTTAGATGAGCACAAGCTCCCACTAGCACATAAGCTAGTGGAAGCTTGCGCCATGGGGAAGTG